CCCTTGACAATCCCCTGGCTTCCCCTACCCCCCAGTGTCTTATGTCCATTGGTTTTGCTTATATGCATGCATACAAGTCCTTCGGTTGATCTCTTACTCCCCTCCCTTCTGCCCCCCAACCCTCTCTGGCCTTCCCACTGCAGTTTGACAATCAGTTTGAGGCAGCTCTGCCTCTGTATCTATTATTGTTCAAAAGTTTGTAATGGTCTTTATTATCCATGAATGAGTGAGATCATGTGGTATTTTTCCTTCATTGACTGGCTTATTTCACTTAGCATAATGCTCTCCAGCTCCATCCATGCCGTTGCAAATTGTAAGAGTTCCTTCTTTTTTACAGCAGCATAGTATTCCATCGTGTAGATGTACCACAGTTTTCTAATCCATTCATCTACTGATGGGCACTTAGGCTGTTTCCAGATCTTAGCTATGGTGAATTGTGCTGCTATGAACATATGGGTGCATATATCCTTTCTGATTGGTGTTTCTGGTTTCTTGGGATATATTCCTAGAAGTGGGATCACAGGGTCAAATGGGAGTTCCATTTCCAGCTTTTTGAGGAAACTCCATACTGTCTTCCATAGTGGCTGCACCAGTCTGCATTCCCACCAGCAGTGCATGAGTGTTCCTTTTTCTCCACATCCTCTCCAGCACTTGTCGTTTGTTGATTTGTTGATGATAGCCATTCTGACAGGTGTGAGATGGTACCTCATTGTTGTTTTGATTTGCATCTCTCGGATGATTAGCGGCTTTGAGCATGTTTTCATATGTCTCTTGGCTTTCTGAATGTCCTCTTTTGAAAGGTGTCTATTTAGATCCTTTGCCCATTTTTTGATTGGATTGTTTATCTTCTTTTTGTTAAGTTGTATGAGTTCCCTATAAATTTTGGAGATTAGGCCCTTATCAGAAATCAACAAATGACAAGTGCTGGAGAGGATGTGGAGAAAAAGGAACACTTGTGCACTGCTGGTGGGAATGCAGACTGGTGCAGCCACTATGGAAGACAGTATGGAGTTTCCTCAAAAAACAAAACATGGAACTCCCATTTGACCCTGTGATCCCACTTCTAGGAATATATCCCAAGAAATCAGAAACACCAATCAGAAAGGATATATGCACCCATATGTTCATAGCAGCACAATTCACCATAGCTAAGATCTGGAAACAGCCTAAGTGCCCATCAGCAGATGAGTGGATTAGAAAACTGTGGTACATATACATAATGATTCAAATACTACACAGCTGTAAAAAAGAAGGAACTCAACATTCGCAACAGCATGGATGGAACTGGAGAGCATTATGTTAAGTGAAATAAGCCAGAGAAAAATAAATATCACATGATCTCATTCATTTGTGGAATATAATGAACAACATAAACTGATAAACAAAAATAGAGCCAAAGGAAAAAATATTTTAGCATATAATTGAAGTAATTTGGTTATTTGCAGATTATGAATATTTCCTACAACTTTAGTGATATTATACTGGTACTATATTAATACGGTTTTGGTAATATTATTATACTTAAAATCTTTTTTCTTGAAATATTAACGTTTATTGCAAGGAATAAATTATATTTAAAATCATTTTTCTTGAAATATTAATTTTTATTGCACGTAAATGGATAATTATTTTGTATCTACAATCTGGTAATAGATTTATTTTGTATATTGTAAAAAACAAACAAAAAAACCAAATATCCATGCACAATACACATATGCCCACATGTATTACACACACATTCTGGACAAATCTTCCCTCCCCCAATGTATAAGGTCATTTTTCCAGGCTTCCAATTATTCAGAGGTTAACCTCTACAGTCTAGAAGCTACAGCAGGCTGAGGACCTCACAGGGGACAAGAGTCCCCCAAACCACCCCCCCCCAAACACACACACAATCACACATTCTTCCCATGGGGTGAGCATCAGTAAGCAAATCCCCAGGCAGAGCTGCAGCTCCCAGCTCGGGCCTCTGAAGCTCCCTGAAATCTGTCTCACCTTCCTGGCTGTTTTCTTGCAGTTCCTTGAAGAGCCGAAGCCTGGAGACCTGATTGAGATTTTACACATCGGCTCCTCGCACTGGGCCCTCTATGTGGGCGATGGTCATGTGATCCACCTGGATCTCCCGGGTAAGGAGGTTGAAAGTATAACTTTCCAGAGATTTGTTACCATTAAGAGAATAATTAAAGGCCAAATGCCACCCTGGGAACCAGCATTGCTTTCTCCCTGAGCAGTTCTTGTGCTCACAGCTAATCTGTGTTCCTTGGAGGCATCTCAGTGTCCCTCTGGTCTTGAACCAGCAGGGAAAGAGGTCCGTGGGCCAAGGGAAGCTGGGCTGGGGCCGCATTGGGTTTCCAGAGATTTGTTACCATTAAGAGAATAATTAAAGGCCAAATGCCACCCTGGGAACCAGCATTGCTTTCTCCCTGAGCAGTTCTTGTGCTCACAGCTAATCTGTGTTCCTTGGAGGCATCTCAGTGTCCCTCTGGTCTTGAACCAGCAGGGAAAGAGGTCCATGGGCCAAGGGAAGCTGGGCTGGGGCCACATTGGACACTCTCCAGCTCCATGACCTTTAGCTGGGCGCGCAGACAGATTTTACTAAACCAGCAGCGACTCTGGGTGTCCCGGTCTCATAAAGAAGAAGGATCAAGATGGTGGATGATCAACTAGATGATGTCCATTCATATCATGGAGCACAATAGCAGCCACTGACCATCAGAATATTCATTAGTTTGAAAAAGTATTCACAGCTAATTAAGTAAGAAGAGTAAAATCCGTGAATCCTCCAATCACATTGGTGAAGGGACAGACACCAAGGCTCAATAGTGTGATCCCTGGCCCTTCTTCCCTGTCTTGTGTCTTCCCTCCCTGGCCTCCCCCTGCAGTTCCTGATACTAGTGTGTCTGATTCCAGGGGAGAAGTCTGAGGCTGGATCCCCCACTGGCTTAGGGGAGGTGAAAAGGCAGCTCCTGGTGGAAGTGGTGGGAAACTGCTTCTATAAGGTCAACAACCACTTGGACCACCTGTACAAACCACGCCCCATAAAGGAGATGCTCAGTGCTGGGAAGGAGATGGTTGGTAAGGAGATGGAGTACAGTGTTCTGAGCAGGAACTGTGAGCACTTTGTCACGGATCTAAGATATGGCAAGGCCCACAGCCGGCAGGTAAAGTCCTCTGGTGGGGGGCTCCCTCTACTTTGATAGGTCTGTTTGGGGTAGAGGAGACAGGGCTGTGCATCCAAAAGAAAAAAATACCCGCAATGATGTAAAATTATGCGCCCTGCCTCCTCTTAGCTGGGAGTTAGGATGTCAGAGAACAAATCTCAGGTCAGTTTCTGATCCATTCAGGGTCTTTGAACAGGTCCCTTCCTCTCTGTCCTCAGTTTCCCCAGGTACAGAAGGAGGGGATGTTGGAGGTCCTCTGGGCTCTGGCCACCTCTATCCCTTTAGGATCCTTCGCCTCTAAGACCCACCCTAAAGGCAGCTCCTGATGCCCTGTGTCCTGTCAGGGAAAGTCTGGGCCAACCCGGGACCCTGACAGGTCTCCTAAGGCCCCAGAGAGCCCTCGGGCAAGAGATGCTCAAGGTCTGTGGCCCATGTAAGAGCTCGAGGACATGTTATGTAAGATCTGGGCACATCCTTACTGCTCTCCTCATTCCCTCTTAGCAAACACAGCTAGTAAGAGGCAGGAGCAGGATTCAATGCCCAGTGCTCCCTGCTCTTTCTGCTGAACCACAGCACCTCCAGGGCTCACAGCCCCTGTGATTGGGTGATGAGTAGCCTAGATGGAGAAGATGAGGGGAGGAGGAGCAGGATTGGGAGGGGAATTAGAGATGTGATTCTCAGGTGGGGTGTTGAGGTGACTATTAGACATGCAGGTGGACCTGTTGAGTATAATTAGGACGTGTGAGTTGAGTCAGGGCTGAAGTGGGAGTGGAGATAGAAGTTTTTTGGGAACAGTACACAGAGCACAGTGATCCCTGAGGCCATGGTTTCCTGTTGTCACCCCTCAGCTCTGCTACCACCTCCCTCTGCAGAGCTGGAGCCCAGGTAGAGCCCAGACCACAGAGCCATTCCCACTTTCACCCCAGAGCTCTGACCCGGGAGCCCAGGAGGGAAGCCTCCTGCCTTATCCAGCCCTGTCACCACCAATTGGCCCCACACAGGAGGCTCACACAGGCCCTGGAGTGGGTGGGACAGAAGTCTGGGGGTTGGTCAGAAAGACATGGGGTCACATAATCGGGAACAGGATGGCCCTGAATAAAGTCATGGGGGAAAGATGAACAAAGAAGTGAATTCCAGAGAAGCTTCCAGGCTAAATGGCCACTGTTGGATGTTGGCATGGAATGAGGGCAAAGGGAAGCTGGCCCCTGGTCTCAGATTGGGCGGCCTGGGGTGAGCACTGCAGGAGGTTAGCTGAGGTCAGACACAAACAGGAAGAAAAAGTGAAAAATTCTCAAATCAGGAAGCTGTGGTGCCCTGGGCAGGGACACTGAGGAGCAGGGAGGTGATAAGGAAGGGAAGGAGGGAGGGAGGAAAGGGGACCAGGAAGGGTCGGGGCAGAGAACACCCAGTGCAGCCACTGCCAGCTGAGTATCCCTGGGCAAGTTCCTCTACCTCTCTGATCCTCAGTTTCCCCAGCTGAGCACGTGGGTGCTGCTTCCTTCCCCTGGGCTTGGGAGGGTGGCATTATGGGAGGAAATATGCCAGCAGAGCCTGCTGGGGGACTGTGAGCCCTGTCCCCAGGGCAGGAAGCAGGGAAACAACAGGAGGGCCTTCTCCAATGCTCAGGTGCCCTTAGGGTGCTGTCACCTGCTGTCTGTCACCTCAGCATCTTCAAGGGTCCGTGTACTGGGGCTGGGAGGGCAGAGTGTGAGGTGGTGGGTGTTGGGTCCATGCACAGCCAGGGCAAACACATGATGGAGACATGAGGGTCAGAGTGTGAGAGCAGAGAAGCTCAGACTCACCTGGACAATGTTGTGGGGGATGGACCTTGGCCCCAGCCTCAGGGAAGGGGATTACATACAGGCTGTTGTGTTATCACCCTCCAGACACATACAATACACCTGCATATGCATGTCTGCATCCTAGTGTGTGTGCATGTACATGCAACATACAAAATATCCATGCACAATACACACAGACACACATGCATCACACACACATTCTGAACAAATCTTCACTCTCCCAATGCACAAGGTATTATTCCAGGCTTCCAGTTACTCAGAGGGCAACCTATAGAAGCTACAGCAGGCTGAGGTCCCCACAGGGGACATGAGGTCTCCCCCACCCATCACCCCCCCACACACACACACACATTCTTCTAATCAGGTGAGCATGAGTAAGCAAATCCCTAAGCAGAGCTGTAGCTCCAGTCAGGCCCTCTGCAGCTCCCTGAAATCTGTCTCACCTTCCTGGTTGTTTCTTTGCAGATTCGTGCAGAGCCCAAGCCTGGAGACCTGATTGAGATTTTGCTCATTGGCTCCTCGCACTGGGCCCTCTATGTGGGCGATGGTGATGTGATCCACCTGGCTCCCCCAGGTAAGGGGGGTTGAAAGTTTAAGTCTCCAGAGAATTGTTAACATGATGAGAACAATTCAACACCACATGCCACCCTGGAAACCAGTGTTGGTTCTCCATGAGCTGTGCTTGAGTTCCCCCTATTTCCGAGTCCCTTGGAGGCATCTCAGTGGTCCCTCAGGTCCTGACACAACAGGAAAAGAGGTCCGTTGGCCTCAGTGAAGACGGGCTGTGTCAGTATTTGGAGCTTGCCAGCTCCATGCCCTTTAGCTGGACATGCAGACAGATTTCCCTAAACCAGGCGTCTCTGGGTGTCCACAGTCCCATAAAGGAGAAGGATCAATGACGGTGGATGGTCAACTAGACGATGTCCACTCATATCATGGAGCACAATAGCAGCCACTGACCATCAGAATAGTCATTAGCTTGAAAAAGTATTCACAGCTCATTTAGTAAAAAGAAAATCCGTGAATCCTCCAATCACATTGGTGAAGGGACAGACACCAAGGCTCAATAGTGTAATCCCTGGCCCTTCTTCCCTGTCTTGCGTCTTCTCTCTCCCTCCCTGGCCTCCCCCTCCAGTTCCTGATACTCATGTGTCTGATTCCAGGGGAGAACTCTGAGGCTGGCGCCCCCACAGGCTTAGGGGTGGTGAAAAGGCAGCCCTTGGTGGAAGTGGTGGGAAACTGCTTCTATAAGGTCAACAACCACTTGGACCACCTGTACAGACCACGGCCCATAGAGGAGATGGTCAGTTCTGGGAAGGAGATGCTTGGTATGGAGATGGAGTACAGGGTTCTCAGCAGGAACTGTGAGCACTTTGTCACCGATCTGAGATACTGCAAGGCCCGCAGCCGAAAGGTAAGGCCCTTCTGGAGAGCTTCCTCTCCCTTCTGGAGGTCTGCTTAGGGTGGGGGTGACAGAGATGACTACCCAGAAGATAAAAATACCACAAAGGATGCAAATATATGCTCCCTGCCTCCTGCTGGCTGGGAGTCAGGATGTCTGAGATCAAATCTCAGGTCTGTTCCTGATCCACTCAGGGTCTATGAACAGGTCACTTCCTCTCTGGCCTCAGTTTCCCCATGTGCAGAAGGAGGGATGTTGGAGGACCTCTGGGGCTCTGGCCACCTCCATCCCTTTAGGATTCTTTGCATCTAAGACCCACCCTAAAGGCAGCTCCTGATGCCCTGTGTGCTGTCAGGGAAAGTCTGGGCCAACCCTGGACCATGACAGGTCTCCTAAGGCCCCAGAGAGCCCTTGGGCAAGAGATGCTCAAGGTCTCTGGCCCATGTAAGAGCTCAAGAACATTATTATGAAAGATCTGGGCACAGATTTAACCCATCCCCTTGCCCCTCTTCTGAGTTCATTGTCCAAAATACACAGCTAGTAAGAGGCAGAAGCAGATTCAATCCACAGTGCTCCCTGCTCTTTCTGCTGAACCACAGCACATCCAGAGCTCACAGCCCCTGTGATTGGGTGATGGGCAGCCTGGATGGAGGAGATGAGGGGAGGAGGAGCAGGTTTGGGAGGATAATTAAGATTTGATGCTCAGGTGGGGTGTTGAGGTGACCATTAGACATCCAGGTGGACCTGTTGAGTAGCAGTTGGACGTGTGAATCTGGAGTTCAGGCTGAGGTGAAGCTGGAGATAGAAGTTTCCAGACTGCACTTGGGAACAGCACACAGAGCACAGAGATCCCTGAGGCCATGCTTTCCCATTGTCTCCCCTCAGCTTTGCCACCACCTCCCTCTGCAGAGGTAGAGCCCAGGTAGAGCTCAGACCACAGAGCCATTCCCACTTTCACCCCCAGAGCTCTGGCCCAATGAGCCCAAACAAGAAGCCCCTTCCCTACCTATTCTGGTCATGGCCAAATGGCCCCACCATGGAGGCTCACACAGGCCCTGGAGTGGGTGGGACAGAAGTCTGGGGTTGGGTCTGTAAAACCTGGGGTCACATACTCAAGTACAGCATGGCCCTGGATAAAGTCATGGGGAAAGATGAACAAAGAAGTGAATTCCAGAAAAGCTTCCAGGCTAACTGACCACTGTTGGATGTTGGCATGGAATGAGGGCAAAGGGAAGCTGGCCTCCGGTCTGAGATTGGGCGGCCTGGGGTGAGCGCTGCAGGAGGTTAGCTGAGGTCAGACAAAAACTGGAAGTTAAACTGAAAAATTCTCCAATCAGGAAGCTGTGGTGCCCTCGACAGTGACACTGAGGAGCAGGGAGGAGGTCATAAGACAGGAAGGGATGAAAGAAGACCATGGTGGGGCAGAGAAGACCCAGTGCAGCCACTGCCAGCTGAGTGTCCCTGGGCAAGTCCCTCTACCTCTCTGATCCTCAGTTTCCCCAGCTGAGCACGTGGGTGCTGCTTCCTTCCCCTGGGCTTGGGAGGGTGGCAGTTATGGGGGAAATGTGCCAGCAGAGCCTGCTGGGGGACTGTGAGCCCTGTCCCCAGGGCAGGAAGCTGGGCAACAACAGGAGGGCCTTCTCCAATGCTCAGGTGCCCTCAGGATGCTGTCACCTGCTGTCTGTCAGCTCAGCATCTTCTTGAGTCTGTGTGCCGGGGCTGGGAGGGCAGAGTGTGAGGTGGTGGATGTTGGGGCCATGCACAGCCAGGGCAAACACATGATGGAGACGTGAGGGTCAGTGTGTGAGAGCAGAGAAGCTCAGACTCACCTGGACAGTGTTGTGGGGGATGGTCCTGGGCCCCAGCCTCAGGGAAGGGGGTTACATACAGGCTGTTGTGTTATCACCCTCCAGACATGTACACAGTACATCTGCATATGCATGTCTGCATCCTAGTGTGAGTGTATGTACATGAAACACACAAAATATCCATGCACAATACACACAGACACACGTACAGTACATACACATTCTGTACAAATCTTCACTCTCCCAATGCACAAGGTAATTTTTTCAGTGTTCCAGTTACTCACAGGGCAACCTCTAAAAGCTACAGCAGGCTGAGGACCTCACAGGGAATAGAGTCCTCCACACACACACACACACACACACACACACACACACACACACACACACGTTCTTCCCATGGGGTGAGCATCAGTAAGCAAATCCCCAGGCGGAGCTGCAGTTCCCAGCCCGAGCCTCTGCAGCTCCCTGAAATCTGTCTCACCTTCCTGGCTGTTTCCTTGCAGTTTCGTGAAGAGCCCAACCCTGGAGACCTGATTGAGATTTCCCGCATTGGCTCCTCGCACTGGGCCCTCTATGTGGGCGATGGTTATGTGATCCACCTGGCTCCCCCAGGTAAGGGGGGTTGAAACTGTAAGTCTCCAGAGATTGTTTACATGATGAGAACAATTCAAAGCCAAATGCCACCCTGGGACCCAGTGTTAGTTTCTCCCTCAGCTGTACTTGGGTTCCCCCTACACCCATGTCCCTTGGGGACATCTCAGTGGCCCCTCAGGTCGTGACCCAGCAGGGAAAGAGGTCCGAGGGCCCCAGGGAAGCTGGGCTGGGGCCGCATTGGACGCTCTCCAGCTCCGGCCCTTTAGCTGGACATGCAGACAGATTTCCCTAAACCAGCAGCATCTCTGGGGTCCCGGTCTCATAAAGGAGAAGGGTCAGTGACGGTGGATGATCAAACGATGTCCATTCATATCATGGAGCCCAATCGCAGCCACTGACCATCAGAATAGTCATTAGCTTGAAAAAGTATTCACAGCTCATTTAGTAAAAAGATAAAATCCGTGAATCCTCCAATCACATTGGTGAAGGGACAGACACCAAGGCTCAATAATGTGATCCCTGGCCCTTCTTTCCTGTCTTGTGTCTTCTCTCTCCCTCCCTGGCCTCCCCCTCCCGTTCCTGATACTCATGTGTCTGATTCCAGGGGAGAACTCTGAGGCTGGCGCCCCCACCAGCTTAGGGGTGGTGAAAAGGCAGCTCCTTGTGGAAGTTTTAGAAAACTGCTTCTATAAGGTCAACAACCACTTGGACCACCTGTACAGCCCACGGCCCATACATGAGATGATCAAATCTGGGAAGGAGATGGTTGGTATGGAGATGGAGCACAGTGTTCTGAGCAGGAACTGTGAGCACTTTGTCACGGATCTGAGATACGGCAAGGCCCGCAGCCGGAAGGTAATGTCGTCTGTGGGTGCTCCCTCTCTCTTCTGGAGATCTGCTTGGGGTTGGGGTGACAGCGCTGTGCATCCCGAAGAAAAATTTAACTCGAATAATACAAAATTGTGCTCTCTGCTCCCATATCCCTGCGGGCTGGGAGTTAGGATGTCTGAGATCAAATCTCAGAACTATTCCTGATCCACTCAGGGTCTTTCAACAGGTCACTTCCTCTCAAACCTCAGTTTCCCCATGTACAGAAGCAGGGGATTGTTTGGAGGACCTCTGGGGTCTGGCCACCTCTATTCATTTAGGATCCTTTGTATCTAAGACCCACCCTAAAGGCAGCTCCTGATGCCCTGTGTCCTGTCAGGGAAAGTCTGGGCCAATTCTGGACCATGACAGGTCAACTAAGGCCCCAGAGAGCCCTCGGGCAAGAGATGCTCAAGGTCTGTGGCCCATGTAAGAGCTCAAGAACATGTTATGTAAGATCTGAGCACATCCTTACCCCCTCAGCTCTTTCCCCTCTTATTAAAACACAGCTAGTAAGAGGCAGAAGCAGGATTCAATGCCCAGTGCTCCCGGCTCTTTCTGCTGAACCACAGCACCTCCAGGGCTCACAGCCCCTGTGATTGGGTGACTGGCAGCTTGGAAGGAGGAGATGAGGGGAGGGGGAGCAGGATTGGGAGGGAAATTAAGGATTTGATGCTCAGGTGGGGTGTTGAGGTGACCAGTTAGACATCCAGGTAGAGCTCTTGAGTAGCAGTTGGACGTGTGAGTCTGGAGTTCAGGGCTGGGATGGGGCTGGGCATAGAAGTTTCCAGAAGGAACTTGGGAACAGTACACAGAGCACAGTGATCCCTGAGGCCATGGTTTCCCATCCTCTCCCCTCAGCTCTGCCACCACCTCCCTCTGCAGAGCTGGAGGCCAGACCACAGAGCCATTCCCACTTTCAACCCCAGATCTCTGGTCTTAGGAGCCCAAGCAGGATGCTCCTCCCCTATGCTCCCAAGTCAGGACCAAATGGCCCACCATGGAGGTTCACCCAGGCCCTCCATGGGTGGGACAGAAGTCTGGGGGTTGGTTGGGAAAACATGGGGTCACATAATCAACTACAGCATGGCCCTGAATAAAGTCATCGGGGAAAGTTGAACAAAGAAGTGAATTCCAGAGAAGCTTCCAGGCTAAATGACCACTGTTGGATGTTGGCATGGAATGAGGGCAAAGGGAAGCCGGCCCCTGGTCTCAGGTTGGGCGGCCTGGGGTGAGCACTGCAGGAGGTTAGCTGAGGTCAGACACAAACAGGAAGATAAACTGATAAATTCTCAAATCAGGAAGCTGTGGTGCCCTGGGCAGGGACACTGAGGAGCAGGGAGGTGATAAGGAAGGGAAGGAGGGAGGGAGGAAAGGGGACCAGGAAGGGTCGGGGCAGAGAAGACCCAGTGCAGCCACTGCCGGCTGAGTGTCCCTGGGCAAGTCCTACCTCTCTGCTGATCCTCAGTTTCCCCAGCTGAGCACGTGGGTGCTGCTTCCTTCCCCTGGGCTTGGGAGGGTGGCAATTATGGGGGAAATGTGCCAGCAGAGCCTGCTGGGTGACTGTGAGCCCTGTACCCAGGGCAGGAAGCTGGGCAACAACAGGAGGGCCTTCTCCAATGCTCAGGTGCCCTCAGGATGCTGTCACCTGATGTCTGTCAGCTCAGCATCTTCTTGAGTCTGTGTGCCGGGGCTGGGAGCGCAGAGTGTGAGGTGGTGGGTGTTGGGGCCGTGCACAGCCAGGGCAAACACATGATGGAGACGTGAGGGTCAGTGTGTGAGAGCAGAGAAGCTCAGACTCACCTGGACAATGATGTGGGGGATGGGCCTGGGCCCCAGCCTCAGGAAGGGCGTTACATACAGGTTCTTGTGTTACCACCCTCCAGACACATACACAGTACACCTGCATATGCATGTCTGCATCCTAGTGTGTGTGCATGTAAACACACACACAACATATCCATGTAGATTACACACATGCATATCACACACTTTCTGGATAAATCTTCACTCTCTCAAAGCACAAGGTATTTTTTCCAGGTTTCCAGTTACTCACAGGGAAACCTCTAAACTACAGCAGGTTGAGTACCTCACAAGGAACCTGAGTCCCACCCTCCCCGAACCGCCCTCCCCCAGCAGCGCGCGCGCGCGCGCACACACACACATACACACATACACACACATGCTTCCCATGGGGTGAGCATCAGTAAGCAAATCCCCAGGCAGAGCTGCAGCTCCCTGAAATCTGTCTCACCTTCCTGGCTGTTTTCTTGCAGTTTCGTGCAAAGCCCAAGCCTGGAGACCTGATTGAGATTCCCCGCATTGGCTCCTCGCACTGGGCCCTCTATGTGGGCGATGGTTATGTGATCCACCTGGCTCCCCCAGGTAAGGGGGGTTGAAAGAGGGTTGAAACTCTCCAAAGATTTGTTTACATGATGAGAACAACTGAAAGCCAAATGCTACCCTGGAACCCGAGTTGGTATCTCCCTGGGCAGGGCTTGTGCTCACTGTACATCCGTGTCCCTTGGGGGCATCTCAGTGGTCCCTCCGGTCCTGACCCAGCAGGGAAAGAGGTCCGTGGGCCCCAGGGAAGCTGGGCTGGGCCTGCACTGGACACTCTCCAGCTCCGGCCCGTTAGCTGGGCGCGCAGACAGATTTCCCTAAACCAGCAGCGTCTCTGGGGGTCCCGGTCTCAGGAAGGGACTGCCTCTCAGTGCTGTGTCCTGTTGCTCAGAGGATGTCACAGAACAGGGCGTCCTGA